CCATGTCCCCTGTCCCATGTCCCCCCACGTCCCCTTGTCCCCCATGTCCCCCCACGTCCCCACATGTCCCCTGTCCCCTCCAGCCCCCAGTTCCTGCTGGGTCCCCACTCCTGGCTGGAGGAGGCCCCCTCCCGGCCCCACTGTGGCCCCGCCCCCAACTGCCGCCCCCTGCTGGAGTTCATGGAGACCCTGCGCTCCCGCGGCTGCCCCTTCTGAGCGGGGCGGGGGGCGGCACCTGGAGCCCCTGGGAGATACTGGGAGACACTGGAAGACACTGGGACCACACTGGAAGAGACGGGGAATGTGCTGGGGGGCAACTGGGAGCAACTGGGACCATGCTGGAAGCAACTGGGACTATATTGGGGCAACTGGGACTATACTGGGGCAACTGGGAGCAACTTGGACCACACTGGAAGCAACTGGGACCATGCTGGAAGCAACTGGGACTATATTGGGGCAACTGGGAGCAACTTGGACCACACTGGAAGCAACTGGGACTATGTTGGGGCAACTGGGAGCAACTTGGACCACACTGGAAGCAACTGGGACCATGCTGGAAGCAACTGGGACTATATTGGGGCAACTGGGAGCACACTAGGGCAACTGGGACCATGCTGGAAGCAACTGGGACTATGTTGGGGCAACTGGGAGCACACTGGGGCAACTGGGAGTTAATAAAGCAACTGGGACCACACTGGAAGTAATGGGACGATGCTGGAGGAGACTGGGTCATACTGGGACCACACTGGAAGGAGCTGGGACCTTGCTGGGGGAAACTGGGAGTGACAGCATGCAACTGGGATCATGCTGGAGGCAACTGGGTCGTACTGGGAGCAACAGGGATCATGCTGAGGGTGACTGGGAGAAACTGGGAGTGTCTAGCAGCATGCTGGGGCCAACTGGGATATACTGGGAATGACTGGGATCACGCTGAGGGCAATAAGGATCATACTTGGAACCACGCTGAGGGCAACCAGGACCACACTGGGGGCAACTGGGGTCATACTGGGAGTGACTGGGAGCAAGCTGGGGGCAACAGGGATCATAATGGGACCACCCTGCGGGCAGCTGAGAGTGACTGAGATCGCACTGGGAGCAACTGGAACTCAGCTGTGGGCAACTGGGAGTGACTGAGATCGCACTGGGAGCAACTGGAACTCAGCTGTGGGCAACTGGGGTCACACTGGGAGCGACTGGGAATGACTGGGATCCTACTGGCACCATACTGGAAGTGACTTGAATCATACTGGGAACTACAGGGAGTAGGCTGAGGGCAACCAGGACCACACTGGGAGCAACTGGGGTCATACTGGGATTGACTAGGAGCATGCTGAGATCATACTGGGACTGATGGGGATCATCCTTGGGGCGACTGGGATGAACTGGGATCATACTGCGAGCGACCATGACCAACCTTGGGGCAACTGGGAGTAGAGGAAATCATACTGGGAACACCTGGAAGTGTGCAGAGGGAAAAGGGGAAACCGCTGGGAACACTGGGATATACTGGCAGTAACTAGGAGCATGCTGGGGGTGACTGGGAGTGACTGGGATATACTGGGAGGAACTGGAACTGGGCTGGGACCATACTGGGAACGACTGGGACCACCCTGGGAGCACCTGGGGATGACTGGGATATACTGGGAGGAACAGGAACTATGGTAGAACCATTCTGGGAACGACTGGGACCATCCTGGGGATGACTGGGATATACTGGGAGGAACTGGAACTAGGCTGGGACCATACTGGGAACAACTGAGACCACCCTGGGAGCACCTGGGTATGACTGGGATATACTGGGAGCAACTGGAACTAGGCTGGGACCGACTGGGTAATCCTGGGAGCACATGGGGATGACTGGGATATACTGGGAGGAACTGGAACTAGGCTGGGACCATACTGGGACCGACTGGGACCACCCTGGGAGCCCCTGGGTATGCCTGGGATATACTGGGAGGAACTGGAACTAGGCTGGGACCATACTGGGACCGACTGGGACCACCCTGGGAGCCCCTGGGTATGCCTGGGATATACTGGGAGGAACTGGAACTAGGCTGGGACCATACTGGGACCGACTGGGACCACCCTGGGAGCCCCTGGGTATGCCTGGGATATACTGGGAGGAACTGGAACTAGGCTGGGACCATACTGGGACCGACTGGGACCACCCTGGGAGCCCCTGGGTATGCCTGGGATATACTGGGAGGAACTGGAACTAGGCTGGGACCATACTGGGACCGACTGGGACCACCCTGGGAGCCCCTGGGTATGCCTGGGATATACTGGGAGGAACTGGAACTAGGCTGGGACCATACTGGAGAATGACTGGGACCCCCCTGGGGGCAACTGGGGATGACTGGGATATACTGGGAGAACTAGAACTGGGTTGGGACCATACTGGGACCGACTGGGACCACCCTGAGGGCACCTGGGGATGACTGGGATATACTGGGAGCAACTGGAACTAGGCTGGGAACATACTGGAATGACTGGGACCATCCTGGGGGCAACTGGGGATGACTGGGGTGTACTGGGAGCAACTGGAACTAGGCTGAGGGCAACTGGGACCACGCTGGGATCATACTGGGGGTGAATGGGTCCATACTGGGAACGATTGGTGCCGAGCTGAGCCCAGCGCCTGGGTCCCGCCGAGGTCGCGCTGGGGGTGGGGCTATGCAAACATATGCTAATGATCCCGCCGCGTTGCTCTTACCGCCCCTTCCCCGCCAGTCCTCCGGCACCATCGAGTCGCGGCCTCCGGTCGGTGCAGAGCGGCCGCGCGGGGCCCCTGTTAGTGGGGCGGAAGGGAGGCGGGCGGAAGTGACGTCAGGAGGAGCTCGGCGCGGCGGGCGGTTTGAATCGCGGCGGCGGCGGCAGGTCCGGGGGTCCCGGGGGGGGGCGTCCCGG